ATAAGATTATAAGTGACCAATAAAACATTTTATACCAAATTGATTTGTTGAGCTTAAAGATGTCACACTGTTTTTAGTTTGTTTTTAAAGCTAAAAAACACCTGTTTTGATTTTTTCAAATATATATGTTTTTTATTGATTTTAGAGAGGAAAGGAGAGGGAGAGATAGAAATATCAATGATGAGAGAGAATCATTGATCAGCTGTCTCCAACCCAGGCATATGCCCTTGACTGGAATCAAACCCAGGACCTTTCAGTCCACAGGCTGATGCTCTATCCACCGAGCTAAAACAGCTAGGGCTGACTTTTTTTTTTTTTTTTCTAAAGAAACTTATGTGCCCTAACTGGTTTGGCTCAGTGGATAGAGTGTCAGCCCGCAGACTGAAGGGTCCTGGGTTCGATTTTGGTCAAGGGCATGTGCCTTGGTTGTAGGTTCCATCCTGGTCCCAGTTAGGGCATGTTGGGGAGACAACCAATCAATGTGTGTCTCTCACATCAATGTTTCTCCCTCTGTCTCTTCCCCTCCCTTCCACACTCTCTAAAAACCAATGGAGACATATCCTCCGGTGAGGACTAACAACAAGATAATAAAAAATAAAGAAAAGTATGCTATGGGGAATTTGGAAACAAAAGTCTGGAAAGATGTCCGTTCTGGGTAATTTTGCTGTTGGAAGTATGTCCGACCTAAAGGACCTGCTTGTATCCTTAACTTGAAAAAAGCCTCGGTAGAGAGGATTGCAAGTGCAGTGTTGTCTGTAACAGGCACCTCTTCCGTTGCGACCTTCTTTGAGGCGTCTACCCTCTGGCTCTTTAAAAAAAGCTTCACAATAAAACTGCACATACAATAAAACTGCACATATTAAAGGTGCACAACCTGATAAGTGAGATGTCTGTGTACACCTGTGAAACCATCAGCTTTGAATAGACCTTTGAACCCGGCTTTCTAATTGCTCTACTTCAAAGTGTTAAAACCCAGTTTAGAAAATCATAAGGCAGGGGCAGCGGAGTAACTGTCTGCGTGGGAGGCAGTGATCTCCTTCCAGAGAAGGGGGAGGGAAAACTGTAAGAGACACCGACACACACTTTCCTTCCTTCACTCTCAACTGAAGCCCTTCGTTTATTCAGTTTCCTCCTGGTGTCCTTTAATGTCCCAGGACACCAACTTGTATTTAGTGCTTCTTTAAGCTCCTGCGGACGGCGGCCGTTCCTCACTTACCTTGTTTTTGATGACTTGGGCGGTGTGCAGGCGTGCTGGTTGGATGTTTTGTAGGGCGCCCCTCGATTTGGGGTTTTTCTCATCAGATCCTGAGGTTGTGCGTTATTGGGGAGGAAGACCAGAGGTAAGGTGCCATGCTTGTCACATGGGATCAAGGGCACCTGCTGTCATCATGTCACTGTGACGCTGGCCCTGACCACCTGGCTGAGGCCATCTCTTTGCTTGAACTAAAATCAGCAATATTTTACTGGACCCAAAAGGCTTTGTACCCTTAACAACTTAAGGGGGGGGGGGAGGAGTCATCATCGTATGCCTTTCAAGTTTTTACTTATGCCAGTACACGTTTATAATTTTAAAATAACTATACATACAGGCATGTACAAAAAGTGTTTCATTGCTGGAGGCTGTTACTCTAATCTCAGTATTTTAATCTCCACCAGATCTGGTGAATGTGGTCAGAGAACTCCCAAGGATTCCTCAAGAAAGTCATGCCCCAACCATTTCTAGAAAAATGTTAATTATGTCTCTGGTCCCATTCTCTGTGCACTGGAGCTGCTCCACAGTAGGGATGCCCCGTGGAAGTGCCCACAGAGGACAGACACCATTTCCCTTTTGCATAGAGGGTAACAAGGCAAGATACCGCCCTCCTTGTTTTAAAAGAACTTGACCCTTTGTCCCAGAAAACAGAGCCTGCTGCACAAGCCACAGACTGGGCTCTGGGCCGAACAGCAGGGACTCGGTGGCCATATCATAGCTGTAAAATGAGAGGACAAGCCATACGGGCCCTTCTAGTTCCTGCCATCCATCCACCTTGTCCGTGTCCATCACTTCCACCGAGTACCAAGAGAGTAGAGTAGACCCCTGGACCTCCCCAAATTTTAGGGCCTCATCGCATCACAATCCGGGTCTCCTAAAACAAGAATGTCAGTGTCAGCCTGGCCAGTGTGGCTCAGTGGTTGAGCGTCGACCTATGAACCAGGAGGTCGCGGTTTGATTCCTGGTCAGGGCACATGCCTGGATTGTGGGCTCGATCCCCAGTGTGGGGCATGGAGGAGGCAGCCAATCAATGATTCTCTTTCATCATTGATGTTTTTAACTCTCCCGCTCCTCCCTGAAATCAATAAAAATATATTAAAAAATAATGAATGTCAGTGTCAGAGCAACTGAAACTGAGCAGATTCCCAGGATACTGGGCTGGCTCGTTTGTCACTGTAGGCGACAGAGGCAAGAGGACAAGGGACCAGTCAGCTGAGAGCTGCCGGCACCTGCAGCTGACAGCACAGTGAGGTGGGCAGGGCCACATTCCTCAGACAGTAGGCTGAGTCACCAGGGAGAAACTGAGAGGTGAGTAAGTTTCTCTCAGGATGTGTCAAAGGTTCGGTGAGGGGCTGGTCTAGGGCCAGGCCTGCTGGCCAGTCCCTGACTTACACCATCCCCATGGCATTTCTTTCAAAATTAAAAACTTTCTCTACCATATGTACAGCCCTCCATCCATTCAGGGTGAGGGAGAGATGTGGGCTTGGTTGCACTGACATTCACCTCTAACCCTGAATGCCTCTGTACTGGCCCCATCTGTGTAATGAATGGGTGAACAGAACTCACTGCAAGTTCACCAGCCCGAACTTCTCCAACGTCCATCAATAGGAGAGCTGGTGATGGTCAAAGTCCCAACAGTTGACCAGCGGATAGGTCCTCACTGACACTCACCAGCTTGTAGGATGACTGACACGTGTACCGAACAAGGGCTGACGGACAGCTACCTGGGCCTGCTCTCTGCTCCATCCCTCACCCCTGGACTCAGACAACCTCAGCTCTCTAGGAGAAAGCCAGGCTAGAAAGGCTTAAACAGTTAAATGAGACAACGCCTGTAAAGCGGCCAGCAGGGGGCAGGCACATAAGAAAGGAACGAAGCTGGCCTGTGAGACTTGGACTTCCGAATGCTGGATCCACACTTTCCAACGGACCCTGCACAGGGTTAAGTGGCTTCACTCTTCTCACTCTGGCAGAAACTAGTGTCAAAAAATTCTTTCAGGTTTCATCTTTTCTACAGCCTTCCTGGCAGCAACGTGAGTGGCTGGTGCAGAAGGGAGAGGCAGATGAGGAAGTACTGACGGTTACAAAGAACCAGCCTGTTGAACTGGTTCGCCCCCAGGTACTTCCTGGCCAGAGGCTCTTAAAATGCACACTCCCTATTCTAGTATCCTAGGGAAGATGCCTCACATGTGTGCACACATGGACATTTACACATACACATGCCTGCTCTGCTTATAATGCACCACATAGGTAAACTGGCATTACACTGAGTGTCAACTGTAACTGAAAAATGAAAGGAAAAAAATAACTCAAAAACGAAGGCTGCAAACACGTCTCTGAAAATTTAGTCACAAGACCTGTTCATTGTCTCCAGGACCAAGAAAAGTCTCATTTAAGAAATTAATAAACTTTGCCGGACAATACTCTTGGCTGGATTTCTCTTACATTTTTTTTTAAAGCTAATTTGTACTTTATTCTATTTTTTAAAAAAATATATTTTTATTGCCTTGAAAAAGGAAGTAGAGGGAAAGAGAGATAGAAACATCAATGATGAGAATCATGGATCGGCCGCCTCCTACCCACCCCACTGGCGATCAAGCCCACAACCCAGGCATGTGCCCTGACAGAGAATGGAACTGTGACCTCCTGGTTCATAGATCAACGCTCAACCACTGAGCCACGCCAGCTGGGCTGTACTTTATTCTTAAGTTTGATCAAACAAATGACCACTACACATTTACAGGAAACCAACAGCACAAAGGACACAGGTAATTTAGAAAAGGAAATCTTTATAACCCTGGCCAGTGTTTCCCAGTGGTTAGGATGTCAGCCTGCACACCAGAGTCTCAGGTTCGATTCCCAGTCAAGAGCACACACCTTGGAAGTTTGATCCCCTGCCCAGTCGGGGCAACTAATCAATGTGTCTCTCACATCGATGTTTCTCTCTGTCTTCTCTCCCTCCCACTCTTTCTAAAAAGCAATGGGGAAAATGTCCTCAAGTGAGGATTAAGGAAAAATAATTAACATAAACTCAGATGAATCTGCCATCATATAAAGAATGCTCCAAGAAATAGTAGGAGGAAGCAGCTCTTAAGAAATTTTAAAATAGGATGACAACATTCACTAGAAACGCTGGAAGACAAAAGCAAAGCAATCGTTCAGATTCTAGAATAAAGCTAAAGAAGCAATCAGGGAGGTTCGGGTCTAAACAATTAGAATTTTAGAACATACTTAAGTTATAATGGAGGAAAGCATTGAAGAAATAACAAAATTATTTCTCTGAGATTCATAAAAGACACATGCCACTAGGTTGAAACCACTTTCCCTGTTATTTTTTTTTAATGTATTTTTATTGATTTCAGAGAGGAAAGGAGAGGGGGAGAGAGCAACATCAATGATGAGAGAGAATCACTGGTTGGCTGCCTCCTGCACGCCCACAAACATCTCTCTGAAAATTTAGCCACAAGCCCTATTCATTGTCTCGCATCAGCTCTCAACCTGGCATGTGCCCTGACCAGGAATTGAACCGTGACCTCCTGGTTCATAGGTCGGTGCTCAACTACTGAACCACGCTGGCCGGGTGTTATTTTGATAGAATTCAAACTCAAGAGTCCGCCGCGTGTGCTGAGTAGAGTAATTCTCGCCCGTCAGCGGCTGGCACCTGCAGGGAGGGCGAGTCCCACCGTCCCGGAGGCAAGAGGGTCAAAACCATCACAGAGTGACGCCAGGCCAATCACACAAGGAGTCCTGGTGGAAGTTAGAGTATTTATTGATGTGTTTAAACTCTGTACATTCTCCACAGATCAGATTAAGGAGTTTGTAGGTGAAGTTTACCTGTGCATAGTGGGGAGAGACATGGATAAGGGGAAGGGAGGGGGAAAAACAGTCACAGGGAAATAGAAAAAAATACACCACAGGTTACCAGAACCTTCAGAATAAAAAAAAAGAGGAAGCGGTGACATCAACATCAACTACACAAGCATGACAGAGGCGTGGGAAGGAACGAAGCCTCGCCGCGCTGCATGTGTCAGGCATCGCCCGGCCTCCTGCTACGCAAAGCCAGCCCCGTGTCTCCGGGCACTGCCCCGTGATGGTCATCTTCTGAGTGAACACCAGGCGGGTGCGGGGGGAGGGCAGGCAGTCAGGGGACAGCGGGAGGCGGGTCAGTGCCTTCAGAGGGAAATGTCCACGGAGGTAAAGACAGCACATCGGACATTACGTGGAGGGAGTGAGGTGTAAAAAGCTACGGTGGGTGAACGGTGGACGGTGAGGTCATATACACACTACAGGCTACTATCCGTGGAAGAACTGGATTTCGAAGGAGAGGAGTGTGGGCGCCCATTCTGTGTACACGGGCTCCGCTCAAAGATGCTGGGACGCAAATGCTTTAACTCCTTGGTGACACTGAGGAACCAGCAGCGGGAACGCTAGATCCCAGGAAACTGGTCCTTTACAATGACTTGGAGAGGGATCGGATGTGCTTCAATGGTCTCACAGTTCCCTACCCACTTAGTTTCTCAGCGACTTCCTGAAGCTCATTGGAAAAGGAAATACTGCCTTTTAAAAACTAAGAACCAGGACAGTGGATGAGCCTCAGTGACTTATTAATGCAACCGGGACATTGCCCTGCATGGACGGTGTCACTGCAAACCAGCACCCCCACATCGATGGAGAGCACGTGAGACAACACAACAGAAGGGGATGCCTGGTTAATTTAAAAAAGAAAGCTACATCAGTCAGGTATCTGCAATAGACCATTTTCTCATTTCTTTAAGGTTTATATATCATATAGTTATATTAACATTTTCACCCATTTAAAAGAATGGAAATTGTGATCCTACAGTAGTACTTTATAGTCTTAGTGATCCAAGAGGTCTGAATGTAAGATGAGCTCCTCTGGAAGTAACTGTCGGTCAGCAGTCGATCCAACACACGGACCTCCTGGCCCACCTGCACCCCCACTCCAGTGGGGGGGACATGCGCCTTCTCCCCCTTAGACCTGCATCTGCTCAAGATACTTGTAGGTCGGGTTTTCATAACCGTGGTTCTGCATCTTGTTCAGGTGGCGCTCCTCAGGGGTGAGCATGGGGTCGACCTGCAGGAACAGAGATTGTGGGTCACAGCAGGGCACCCAGGAGACGGCACAGGGCTCAGAAAACCTGGGATCACCACCAGCCCAGTGTCTTGTTTCCACTGGGTGAACAAAATGAGTGAGGACACAGGACAAGGACAAGAGGCAATGCTTCTGCAAGCTGGAGCCCTAAAAGCCTCATCCAAGTTGGAGAACAGTGAGCTGAATTTCCTAGCTCCACAGCCAGGAGCGAGTCTGTTCTCCCCGCCACCTGGGACAGCGAGGGGAACATCCTTATAAAACAGCGCCGAGGCCGATGCTCTGCCAAGTCTTCCCAGCTCAGAAGCTCTAACACCAGGCCCTGTGCTACAGGAGCTGGAACCCAGTAACTGAGACATGTCTGGAGCTAATTTTCCAGAACGTGCTACATTCTTTATTGCACTCACTTTCCAGAATCGAGAGACCCTGGCATTTCCACCAAGTGGTGAGTTCTAACTACCCATCAGGATGGAGAGAAACAATCTGCTCTGCTTTCTACATTTCTTGTTGCCTTTTTTTCCCATTAAAAAATAAGAATAGCTCGGCTGGCTCAGCTCAGTGGTTGTGGGTTGACCCATGAACCAGGAAGTCACAGTTCGATTCCTGGTCAGGGCACATGCCTGGGTTGTGGACTTGCTCTTCAGTGGGGGGTATGCAGGAGGCAGCCGATCAATGATTCTCTCTCAACATTGATGTTTCTACCTCCCGCTCCATTCCTCCCTCTGAAATGAATTAAAAAACATATTAACAACAACAACAAAAAGAATAGTATTAGTCCTGGTTATAGTTTTAAGACTGAACCACTCATGATTACCTCTGTTGCCTGATGTGCCACAGACCTGACTTGTTCTTTATAAAACAAGTCAAGAACAAAGAAGAGCATTACAGTCCTCCATGCTCAGATACCCAACATGCCTGAAAAAAGGAAACACTAAGAATCGGAGAGACAGGTCCACCCTCTGCAACATAAAATGCTCTTAGGATTTCCTCACACTCACAGTCAGAGCCAAATTAATGTTAACGTCGGTAACAGCCCTTTGTCACAGAATCAACATAATTCAGTTGGGGCTTTCAAAACATGAGCTAATGATCCAGTGAGTGATCTAGTTGACGGGCAGCGCCCAAGAACAGACATCTGAACGCCAGCAAAACCCGCCAGCTGAGAGCAAGCCCCCAGCTCGGGGCCAGCGGGAGAAGCCCAGCCACTCACCTCCACGATCCCATGGCTGATGGTGCCGTACTGCCTCTTCCTCAGCATCACCAGGCTGATGACTATGACCGTAGCAATGGCCACCGCAATGACCAGCAGGCCGATGAGGGCACTGCTGCTCAGACTGAAGTCCTCCCGCAGCGACCCCACAGATTCCTACGGGACAAGGCAGACGTGCAGGAAAGCCCGTGACCACTTGCACGGCGTGGAAGGCAGGCACCGAGACGCCCTCAGTCAGGGACGTGCCCTGCAGTCCTGTCCCGAAGCCCGAGCAGCTCCAGGGCCCAGCTTTCTAGGTCCCACCCACCTGGGAGGACCCCCACTTTTCCAGGTCCCACCCACCTTGGAGGACCCCCACTTTTCCAGGTACCATCCGCCTGGGAGGACCCCCAGCTTTCCAGGTCCCACCCACCTGGGAAGACCCCCACTTTTCCAGGTACCATCCACCTGGGAGGACCCCCACTTTTTCCTGTCTCCATGAAGATTAACCCCCTATTAGGTTCTGGGGCTAAACACATACCGGCTCTTCCTCAAGGCCTCCAACTCTCTCAGAATTGAAGATCATCTCCTTCACATCCAGAGTCTCATCAATGACCTGCAACACACGGAAGAACGTCAGTAACTGGGGGGGAATCTAGTGTAAATGTAACGCTATTACGTGTGGTGGAGGGAAACAGATACAGGTGGACACAAACCCACCAGTTCTGCCTCATTCACCTACCAGTGGTCGGCAAACCGCGGCTCTTTAGCCACATGCGGCTCTTTGGCCCCTTTAGTGTGGCTCTTCCACAAAATACCACGTGTGGGTGCGCACATACCATGCGCAGAAGTTGGTATTTTGTGGAAAAGCCACACTCAAGGGGCCAAAGAGCCGCACGTGGCTCGCCAAAGAGCCACATGTGGCTCGCGAGCCGCAGTTTGCCGACCACTGACCTACAGGGTCACGTAAAGCAGAGGGTCCTTCCAGGGCCTCTTCCTGCATCTGCCCTTAGGGAACTGTTGTGGGAGGTATTTCAGGACAGATTACCAGGAAGCCCAGTTGAAACATCAAACTCGGTTAAGAATAATCCAGAAATAGGAGAGAGAGAAAATGCTAGAATGATTAACAGGAGGTGTGAACCTAAGGCAGCACCGAGCCGAAGCCAGTCTCCTCCACGTTCACACTGAGTCTCTCCTCACTGGAAAACGGCCTCTGACATCCTACTTGTCTCTTTAGTTACAAATACATTTTCCCACTGCACAGCAAGAAAGGAGCTACTGCTGAGAAGTAATTCTTCATCCCTGTTACACCCAAAGGCTAAACACGGGAACCGTGGGAGCAGCTGGGGCCCACCCGCCTGCCACCGTGCGGAAAAGGAACATGCAGGCCACCTGGAGGGCACCCGAAACAAGGCCATGCACGCGCATTATTCTCCAAATGAAAACAGGGCGGGGCAAGAGAGAGAAATGGCTCACCATGTTTTCATCCACTTTGTTCTTGCTGTTGATCACCTTCTCCTCGGCGCCTATCAGCCCTCCGTCCTGCTCGCCCAAGCCAGAGCCTGTGTGGAGAGAGCGCAGCTGCATTCCCCAGGGCATCTGTGCCTCTCACAGAAGCAGCGACGCCCTCCTGGGGGAGCCTCCTGGGGCAGCGCCCCCCAGTGCCTCCCCGCAGCAGCAAGGCGCTCCTCGGCTCCCGTGCGGAGGAAGCGCTGTGCTGGCAGGATGGATGGAGCGGGCGGTTTCCAGAGGCTGATGGAGTAATGGAGAGGAGCGCGCTGACTGGACCAGCTGGGAAAGATGGAGCACAAGCCTTCAGAAGACAGTGCTTATTGTAAGAGCACGAAGCTAGAGCCACGGCCTTCCAGCATGGAACCCACGGGACGCCCCAGGTGATACTACCGAGCCCCTCCTCCTCCAACAGCTGGGGCTCCCTTCCCATGAACAACTGTCAGACCTCAAGCACCTTTTATCCCACGGGCAATTCTTTCTGATTGAAAGAACCCCCTTGACCTTAACCCCTTCCCTTTGTCCTTTCAAGCTACAGCTGCTCTTGGGAGACACCCCCGGGTTATAGCACTTCCAGCACCATCTGTAATCATGGATTTTCTCCTGTTTCCCACCAGGCTGTCCCCTCTCTGGGCCTAGATCACAGATGATCACATCCCTGATGGTCATTAGAGCATGGACAGGAAGGAAGCTTCCATAAAAAGGCGGAATCCTGACGTCAGGGCGGAAGGCACCGTTCTTTAAAGGAAGCAACAACAGCACCACTCCTCTTGTCAAGGTCAGACGTGGCCTGAGCCGACGTCACTTGTGCGTGGCACTCCAAACGGCCGCACCAGAGACAAGCCAGCGCAGCCCCGGCAAGAGGAAGCGAGGAGCAAGCCTCTCTTTTTATTTTTAGCTCCAAAGCATGTGACTCCCAGCTACCCTAACACTTGCTCATTAATAAAAACCTACCCAGTTCTTACAGACGTCTGATTTGAACCTCTTATAAACAGAGCGACCTGACAGGATGCTCGGCATTCAAAGCGGCCACCTGCCAGCGAGGAACATTCCAACACGAGCATCTGCAAAGCCGGCCAGCCACCGGGGAGCGTTCCAGCTCACGCCAGACCTGCTCTCGCCACGGAGCAATGGGTAACAGCTACTGCTGACCCCACAGGCCGCTGACGCAGCCCCTCGTGAGCGCACAGCCAACAATGACGCCAGTTTTCTCTAGGGCTTTCATTTTAAAGAATAATTTCACAGCTGGATTCTAGGGGAAGTTAAGCCAGGGCTGGCGTTTGTTGTCTCAAAATGCCAACGAAACAGCACCTCCACTATTTGAGGGAGAGGAACGGTGCCCCCTCAGCAAGCATGCGCCTGCCAAGCCTGAGCCACTATAACTGAGCTCCTTCCACTTCTATCACATCTCCTCCTTAAAACTGGGAAGGTCAGGGGGCAGGATCCTATTTGAGAACTAACGTGGCACTGGATCTGCTACTAGTCCACACTGTTTCAATACTTTTTTGGTGATATAACCCACTTGTTTCTTAAATACTAAGCAAAACCATTTTGATTTGGTGAAACATGTTTCAATTATCCCAACAGTTGGGGTTCAAGGGTGAAAGCCAGCTAACCTCCTAAAAAATGTATCTTGATCTGTGAACATCTTAGATGTGTGACCTGTAAACATCTAGGGTGTGCTGTTTGGAGCAATGTAACCACAGCGACCAAGGTCATAGTGAAGCATTCACATAGAAGCATTCACATTAGAAGGCTGGAGTTGTACTTCTGTTCCGAGATAAGCTGGGGCACCCCCACCACCCATTGCTGGCCCGGGAGCACCACCTGGCCCACCACAGCTTGTCTGCAAAGCCCGCCGTGGGCTTGGAGACACACACTGAGAACACGAACCCTCAGAATGGCTCACGGTGACTGCAGACACTGGGCGACCCAGCAACCTGGGACATTCAGCAGTCGACACTGCATTTTATGCAACAAACAGCAGGGGCTTTGAAGACAGAGGAGCTGGGTTCAATTCTGGTTTCTCTGCCCCTTAAACTCATTACTTTGAGCAAGTTCTGTAACTCTAAGGCTTCTTCGACTGCCTCATCTAGGAAAAATCCCACCTACAGTGCCCATATAATGTTACCTCTTCCTGACATGAGACTCACTGCAGAGTCTCCACCTGCTGCACCCATCGGCTTCTAGAATGCTCTACTTAATGCAACAACCAGGGGACATGAGACAACTACAGTGGACAGGTGGGCACGAAGGGCAAGGACAAAGAGGGAAAAGACATAGTGGGAGCAGCAGAGAAAAAGATTAAAAAAAAAAGACTCTCTACCTGACAGAGATTAAGCCTATTTGCTTTCATATGGTCAAAGTCTCCCCGGATTAAAGGACCTAGGAAACACCTCTGGCTACTCTGTTCTCTGGGCACCCAGAGGGCAAACTTGGGATGGCCACCTGGTGACCAAGGTCACTGGCACTGGGCTGGATGCTGGAGACAGGACTGCTGTGGCTCCACGCACAGCCACGGTGGAGGAAGGAGGTGGAAACAGTCGGTGATGTTATGAAACAGAACATGAGATTCGGACACACTGGGGAAGTGACAGGGATGAAGGTCTTAAAGGGAACATCTCTGACAAACCAACCTTTTTTCATTGGGTGGTACAACTCCGGCTGGGTGTCTAGCAGAAAGGAAAACAATAAAAACAAAATAGCACAAAAGGAGATTAAGAAGGAAAATGGCTTTCAAATTTCCTACTTTAGAATTCCTCTACAGTGTGAACCAAAACTCCTCTTCCTTAAAACCCGGCCTGAAAGTCCCACAGACCAAACAGCAGTGAGGGCCGGAAGGTGGGAGAGAAAGGAGGTCTGTCTTGGGTCTTCTGGAGAAAAATCTGTGAGATTCCAAAATTATTTAGCTCAGCCCACAAAATTCTTTTTCTTAGAAAAATAACAAAATCAGAAGTTGGTAGATTGCAGTTTTCTGAAAAGGAGACAAGGTCTTACTTCAAATATGCCCTGATGCTCCCACCCAAGGAGCTGTGTAGGCATGGCTGCCATGCTTGCCACGGAGCCTGGGGTTGGGAGGGCAGGTTTGGGGAGGGGAGGGGCAGTGGTGCCTCCTTAATCAGCTCCTTTCTCAGATTCTGCTGTTACTGGAGGGTCAACTGAGTTGGCAGCTCCAAGGTAACTAGTTCAGAAAGCGATTAAGGTCTGGAGGCTAAGCTGGAGGCCCCTCCCCGCTCTGGGGCCTCCCCAGGCCTCCACCAGCACTACTATACCAGGTCCGAGGCCTGTGGCACCGAATCAGGTGGGCTCAAATCCTCACTCTCCACCTACAAGCTACAGGACCCTGGGCAGACAACCTCTCTGAACCTTGGAACCCCAATGGGGAAACTCTGAGGCTTAACTGAGAGCACCCGGGAATGATGCTTAGTGAAGCTGGCATTCGATAAGGACTCTATAGCTATGGCCTCTATTTTTATAACCACACCATCAGCAAGAGTAGCAGACAAATATAGAGACTGATTCCACACCCTGGTCCAGGGCCTGCTCTCCCTCTGCACTTGGTGTTGCTGGTGCAGACCCAGGGTCAGAGGTCCCCTTGGAATGCAAGATCCAGCACGGGGTAGCAGTTGGCATGCCTGACCGGAAGGACAGGGACACAGCTTCCTATCCCCACCCAATAGCACAGTAAGTCGTGTCATCTCTATAGCCTCTCCATTATCTGACTCCCAAGACTGCTATGAAAAGATAAGGACATAATTTAACATGAAAGTGCTGTGTCCACGGTAAAATGACTTCCACATGTAATAAGGTTTACACATACTGGAGGTAGCTGATAGGCCCAGAAAAAACTGTAGTCTTTAAGCAAACCATCTATAAACTGTCAGAAATAGGACTAACCTCATGGTGATAATGAAACCAGCTATCTGAAAGCTCCCACTACGGTGCCCGCACATAGTAGGTGCTCAATGACTCAAGTCTCCCTTGCCCTGCCCGACTTTCACTAGGAACACAGCTTCACCAATACAATCCAGGTCCAAAAATCTGACTTCAATTTTCTAACTGTAGTCTTCTCCCTTCTTGCCCCCACCTCCACCCACCCCCACCCCACCCTACCCCCACCGCCAAGAAGTTGCACTGTCAATCATACACACCTTCATTCTCAGGTAAGGACGGGAAGGGATGGAAGGGGCGGAATGGTGGGATCTCATCACTTTCTTCAGAGCTCACCCGGACGTCCACAGGGGTCTCTGAGATAGAGGACGTGAACTGGTCCATGTCTGCACGCTGTTCTTGAAGCAGCTCATCTGACAAAGACAGACACGGCAGGGAGCCAGGTTTTCAGAAGGCTCTAGGTTCTAGACATAGGACCAGAGTCTGAACAGGATGCGTTCATGTGATTACAGCTCAAGAGACCTGCCGCGAGGAGCAGCTCACCAGCTCACAACTGTCACTGACGGCCTGACACACCTTCTGATTCTGTGGTGCTGCAGAACCCCAGCACTGGGGGCCCGGGCTCCATCCTGGGCACCCGTCTTCTCTACTGATTTCATCTAAGGCACAGCCTTAAACACCACGCACCCAGCATGGCCCCCAAATCTGTACCTTAACTAACGCCTGAGCCCTGGCTCATGAGGCTACGGGCCTACGTGACACGCCCACTCCACGTCCAACAGCAACTTCCATTTAAAACGAGTGTAGACACCGCTCTGCCTCAGTAAACTCTGGCACCGCCACCCACTCACTGCTCGCAATGAAGACCTGAGCATCATCCTTGATGCTTTTCTTTCCCTCAACCCCCATCTGACTCACTGCACGGCCTGTCCACCTCCTTCTGAACCGTATCCTGAGACCCCCCACAGCTCTCTCTCCTCCATCACCACCCGTGCACACAACCACCAGCTCTCGCCCGGACTTTTACAACCGCTTCCCGGCGGGCTCCAATTTTAATCGGCTCTCCAAACAGCATCTAAGTAATTTTTTTAAAAATTCATGTTCTTTTAAAAGCATAATCCAGATCTTGTCACTCACTAGTTTAAAAGCCTCTAATGGCTATTATCCTGAACTAAAATCCAAACCCCTAGATTTTGCTAAAATCTCTTAACAAACTGGCCTCTGCCTACTTCTTTGGCCTCGCTTCTCCCTGATCTACTCCAATGTGCCTGCCGCTTGATTTACACGCCAGGCCTCTGCTGGAGTCCTGCCTGTGATAGGGATGTTCTCTGCCCTGGGGTCTCCGGTTACTGGCCCTGAGACAGCCTCCCTGACCACCCAGCCACTCACCACCACAACCCGAGTTTACCCCCCTCCACAGCTCACACCACCTGCTGATACTTGTTTTCCTGTCTGTCTCTCCTACGCTGAACTCCAGGAGATACTGTCTGCTTGTGCACTGCTTACACTGTGACACAGGGCAGATAATAAATATTCACTGAATAAATGGAGAAGGTAGAGACCAAGAGGGAGAGGAGTGAGAACGTGTGTAAAATAGGTGCCTTGAAATACATCAGCACAAGGGGGAAAAGGTAACAGGAGACTCCCCCAGGCCCTTGCAATTTTACACCCTAGAGTTTTCTTCCGGTAACAGAGTGAAGGTCAATGAAACTCAAGGCTCGGTGGCTCACAGCCAGTCCTTGACCTGGACACGTGAATTCCAGACTTCTGAACCCCCGGGGTGCTAACACCCCGCCTCATGGCTTCCTGCGGCCTAGTTCTCTAATCTCTCTCGGCCATCACTCACAAGCCTTCACAAGACCCCACCTGACTGATACAAACACAGTCAGCACCCACCAATTTCCTCTTGGATTTCCTGGGCTACATAGGGCACTTTGTAGAGCAGAGAGAGGCTCTGGTTCCTCCTTTCTTCGATCACGTGGAGATGTGTCATCACCTGGAAGGACAGCATGTGAGAGGCCTGTCAGCAACACAGCTGGGGAGGAGGACTAGCCACACACACTCCCGCAGGGACAGCCACACACACGCTGCAAGGCCAGTCCTCCACAGCGCCCAGCAGAGCAGCTGGCAGAGGGAATGCACTAATCCCCACGCACGTACTGACCACTGAAGTGAAGCATTGTGCAGACTGTGCAATACCCCTCAGTGATCTGAGAACTGACCAGAGTCCTTCAAGTTAAAGAAAATTAAGAATCCTCACTAGCCAGCTGCTGACTTGCCTTTCATATAACTGACTGTGCTGAATGAGTTACAAAGAACCCTAGTTTGCGCAATACCGGGTACTCAGTAAGGTTTTTCTGAGTGAACCAGGAAAGAGTTGGCCAATTTCTACCGCTGGTCAGATTAGATGGGATAAAAAAGAGAAGGAAATCACTGGCTAAAAAGTAGATTTGGGGGGAGAGGGAACCAGTCACAGACACTGCTTTGTGAAGTAACTGCTTAAAATGATTTTCATGGTGATAACCAGTTTATTCCTACTTAACTAAATTAGCTATTCTTTCAAAAACTTACGCTAAGGTATATACAAACCTGATTTTAAGGGCGTCAAATAAGATTTATCTACCACCCGTCCGTCTTCCATGGCTCACTACCCTTTCTGAACGCAAATTTCCAAGGTTGCCATTAAAACTGGTCACTTACTTTTAAAGCTTCTGGTGGGAAAGAAAGGTGATTTGGGGTAACTGCCACCCCCATGACACAGCGAGACCCGCTGCAGCTCACACAGCTATTTGAGGTTACTCCTGCCTGGCTACACTTGCAGTTACCAAGCTCTTCCTACAGAGGGCGAGCTAAACCCATGGATTCATTATGTGGGCTACAATCCATTAACATGAAGGGTCAAAATGGGGGTGGGTGGGCTGGAAGAGTTAACTGGCAAGATGCTTTTATTGTAGACGGATATCTCTCTGACCATTAGAAGCCAGGATGGAGCAATTTAATTTTATATCTGCCATGCTTTCAATCAAGTAGACTGATAGGAAAGAGGGAATGCCTCAGAGAGAAAATGCCTAGAAAGGAAAACGAGGCCCACCCCCGTCTGAGCATGTGCTGGCATCGTTCCACTTCTTCACATGAACTGAGGAGCCATCTGAGGGAGGAAGGCCCACACCCATGAGGACAGAACTGCACTGTGGGGGGAAGGCTGCACACCGGTGTCTGTGCTGAACCTTGGAGCTGCACACGAGGGGCAAAGGCACGTCACACACCCAAACCATATCTGCACGTGAAAACGGCTGAATGCATTCAGGGCTCTCTGGAGTTCAGGGAACAGAATAGGGAACAGACAAAAGGCTAATGGGATTCAGCGGGGCTCAGAGCAGACAGTAAACATCACACAGCAGAGCTGGGTTTCCCCGTGATGTTCTGAGGAGGGCTCTGCTTCCTGTGTGACTTGGTGGGGCACTTTAGTCCTGCTGGCAGGTGAGTCTTCCCCTAAGTATTGATTTAATATACTGATCAGATCTCACCACACAGAACAGGCCATGTTCTCTGTAAGATCCTACACAATAGTCTAATTCTTCCACACACAAAAATTTTAAAATTTTTTTAAAAACAAATCAAGCCGACCTACAAAACCTACCCGTCAAGATGCATGTGTTGCTCCCCCTGAGCTTCCTGGAAGCCACTCTAGGAGGTTCTTGCCTTTCTCCTTCCTGCTACTGCATCCAGCTTAAAGCACTGCCCCCGGGCCATAGCAGGGGTCCCTTCTGGTCCCAGACCTGGCCCCTTTCATTCTTCCCTCTTTAGGAGCCCGAGTTCCTTCATTACCCCAAACACTCAACTGCGGAAGTGCAGCTATTTGAGGACAATTACTCTTCATCTTTACAATTAATGTAATTAATCCTGTGCGCACTGGGAGCTGCTCAAGGGCACACAGGGCCTGGACTCTGTGGCGTCAGATGTGAGGGCAGAGTCTGGCAGGTGGACAGGAAGCACACAAACATCTGCTCAACGAAGGAGCAGTGCCCTCGCTGCAGCACTGCTAGGCCTGTGGGCAGATTACCTTCCATTCATAGCACACAGGCACGGAGGCTGGGAGGGGAGTTCCTGGGATGATGGACAAGTGCCCACACTTGTAACACCCACAATAGCACAGCACTAGGTTTATAATATGGGAGGAAATAAGGTAAGATCAGTCATGTCATTACGGGGCCCTCTAGAAACTAACAGGCTAAAGAAGAAACAAACGACTCAACACAAAACAAACCCACTAATGGGCTGAACTATTAGACTGTGATCAAAAGGAAGCTAGCAGTCTTATAGGCAAGTTCATTTTCTATGAATACCAGAGTAAAACTCAACTGAATATATGGACAATATCAAATTTAGAAAGGGTCCAGAAATAAACTTTTACAGATGACTTTATTTTTATTTTAATATATTTTTATTGATTTCAGAGAGGAAGGGAGAGGAAGAGATAAACAAAAATGTAATGTACAAAAGATACCAATCTTTATGATCTGCTTGATATCGCAGCCTAGAAAATGATTTCCAATATTAATTCCAGTGGTACCCTAAATAAAAATAAACTGTTAGATACTGACATAATATAATCACCCATTACTAAACTTTCAGAAACTGTACTTAATATTGCCAGTTTGATTCCCGGTCTGGGCACATGCCTGGGTTGCAGGCTCGAACTCCAGTAGGGGGTGTGCAGGAGGCAGCTGATCAATGCTGCATTCTCACATTGATGTTCCTCTCTCTTTCCCTCTCCCTTCCTCTCTCTAAAAATCAATAAACTATTCTTAAACCAACTCTTGTACCTAATGTCTCTGGAAACGAGAGACACTTTCAAAGGACTGATATCAAGCATCAGTGCTGACCGACCGTCAGTCACAGCAGCCCCCCGACTAGAAACTCTCCCAGAGCAACCTGGACTCCGCCTGGTACCTGGGATTTCATCTGGGCCGCCTTTTCTGGGTCCACAGCCAACACATGCTGGTAGTGACGGATGGTGTGCAGGCGATCTTTGTTCTCAGCGCGGACATACCGCCGCAAGGCCTGGAGAATGCGATGAGGCTGCAAGACAGAACAGTTGTTTCAATATCCAGAGATGAGGGCATTGAAAATAGACAGAAAAACAAGGCTTTAAAAATTCCCTTAAGAATGTAAAGCTCAGTGGGGCACAAGAATGAAAGCTCTCCTTTCAAACGCTTTTAGCTTTTAGTAACAAGAAGCCACCTTTCTAAGTACCCAAATCTAGGTTCCCAAGTTGTATAAGCCTTCACAAACAGTGTTTTCCATAATTTCTAGCCCACTGTCCTCCTCCAATGGGTACTTTTTCACGGGCTCAGCCTCTGACACCTTCATTACAAAACAGGCAGTCTCTGTGTCACCCAGAAATGACTGTACTTGCTTCCTTAGAAGGATACAAATATCCTCCTTTCCAATACTGTCCACCGCCCACAGCAAGACAGGGTAGACAGAGTTAAGGGATAAAAAAGCCTGACACTGTCTGGCCTGTGTGGCTCAGTGGATAGAGCACCATGAACCAGGAGGTTGTGGTTTGATTCCCAGTCAGGGCACATGCCTGGGTTGCGGGCTCAATCCCCAGTATGGGGCCTGCAGGAGGCAGCCGATCAATGATTCTCATCATGGATGTCTCTCTCTCTCCCTTTCTCTTTGAAATCAATAAAAATATATTCTTAAAAAAAGTCTGAGACTGTCAGCACAAAAGGGTTTCTATATAAACTACTTTACCCCTTTGTTCACAATTTCATTTAAAGTAGAACTGGTTCGCCCTAGCTGGTTTGGCTCAGTGGATAGAGCGTCAGCCTGCGGACTGAAGGGTCCCAGGTTTGAATCTGGCCAAGGGCACATGCCTGGGTTTTGGGCTCAATCCCCAGTAGGGGACCTGCTGGAGGCAGCCAATCAATGATTCTCATCGTTGATGTTTCTCTCTCTCTCCCCTTCTCCCTTTCTCTCTGAAATCAATAAAGAAATATATTTAAAAAAAAATAAAGTAGAACTGGTTCAAAGCCTTTGTCCGTGGAAGGTGTTTTTATTCTTTGAAAGTGAGGCTGTTAACAACTTGGTAACCGGATAACTACCAACCAAGTGCTGAGGCTGTGCTTTCTCTGGGTCACACCCGGTGCCACAGGTGCACACACAGGCAGTGCAATGCTAAGCCAATGTAAGCAGATACTGCGACGTAATTCCCTTCCCTCCCTCCTCTTCTTTCCTCACTTCCAGCCTTGCCAGAGCTTGTCATAAACACGTCATTTTATGGACCCGTGTCACGATGGTTCCACATAAACACTATTGGGGGCAGGCCACACTGGGGCACGCTTCACCAGTGACCTGCTGCCCGCAACTCACCCGCGGCGGGTCGGCCTGCAAGGCAGCCAGGTAGTTCTCTAGCGCCATGCGGCGGCGGTCGTTCAGCATAGCTTCCACCCGGGCCAGGTGGGTTTCCACCAGCTGCTGCTTCTCGCTGGCGGCTTCTTTCTCTAAAGCTTTCACCATCGCTTGGAAGTGCTACGCCCAGAAAGCAGACAACATGTAAGTCATGGCAGGCAGAGAAGTCTAGGCAAACACCTACAGAGCCCAACAATGGCTTCTCCCTGCCCAGGGCGTGTGTGAGCCGCAGCGGGTCCACAGAGTGGAGCAGGTTCAGATCTAAGCACTGTATACAGTAAGTCCTCACTTGTCAGCACCAGCTTCTGTGACTTTAAGCAAAACGACATATAACGCAACCAATTTTACCAAAGGCTAACTGATATAAACAAGGGTTAAGCCCGGCCGGTGTGGTTTAGTGGTTGAGCATCGACCTATGAACCAGGAGGTCACAGTTCGATTCCCAGTCAGGGCACATGCCTGGGTTGCGGGCTCGATTCCCATGGTGGGGCGTGCAGGAGGCAGCCAATCAATGATTCTCTCTCATCATTGATGTTTCTCATTCTCCCTCTCCTTTCCTCTCTGAAATGTTTAAAAATAAATAAATAAATAAATAAATAAATAAAATGAGGCTTAAGTTGCTACAGCATCTCAGAAACATCATGAAACAATGTTAATGAAATGACGTGATCCGAGGAGCCGCTGCCTTGGTCTGCTCTGTAGAACAATCCTTCCTTGCCTAGTGACAACGTGGTAAAGCGAGTGCCAGGGCTCCTCAGACCTCCCGGGCACCGCCGGCCTCTGCACGTGCACTGCAAGGCAAGAAACGCTGACTTCCCACACGGTGGCCAGGCGCCCACTTCCTCATCCCCAAACCGCAGCCTGATAGGAGACGTGCTGCGAAGCACGTCCCAGTGCATGGCGGGTTCCTCTGAGTCATTCCCACTGCAGTCCCGAGGGGCAAGCAGCGAGCTGAGTCCCAGCCACATCTGAAGGCCTGGCTAAGGCTGCGGGGTTCACGTCCCTGCACGGATGCACTGGCTGTGCAGAAACGAACACGCCTGGAGTTTCTAGGTGCTCTGAGAAGGGTCATCGTGAAGAGGGATTTCTGCTAAACAAACACCAATGGATTTAAAATGTTTAAGTGTCACACCTGTATCCCTATTCCTATCAACACTCTCTTCTGCAAGGAGGAGGCAGTTGCTGCTGTGATTCTAAGGTGACATTCTCACAAAGTTATTTCTTCTCTGCCTTTCGACTTTTCAACAAGTCTGTAAAAGCAAGAATTCAGTGCTGCTGAAAGGCAAGTCGCAGCCCAAGTAGGAAGATGACCGAGCACTTGAGCCAGGAGAGCAGAATGAACAAACGCAGCGGATAAGGTTGCTTCCTGGCGTGAATGAGGTGCGCTCTGGCTGGGGGTTTGTTTTCCTTCTGCCACAGGCGAGCTATTCTAGAGAACACCAGTTGGGAGGTTAGAACTTCCTGGTAACATAAGCTCCCGACTGAAAGGAGCTGTGAAGCCCTAACTTCCGGGGAGTTGGTGCTGACCGCATCTGAGGGCCAGGCTGGAAGCCCCGCCCTGGACGGCACGTCTCACCTGGATCAGCGTCTGCCTCTCTGCTTTAGGGAGGTTCTTCGCTTGAAGCTCAGCCTCTTCCCATTCCTTCTTTACCTAGAACGAAAGGCAGAGTTCTCTAACCAGGGAGTAGTCTCCAGAACAATCCCCCGCATCTCACACAGGAAACTGTGCAGAAGGAAATCGCACGTGTGATCCCTCGTGAGCTCAGGGCCGTTTAGCTTGTTCCCAGAGCACTGTCTCCAAGGCTCTGCCTCACTGCCCCCCACTGGAGTCTCAATCCCACACCTCTTTGTTCTATCTCCTTGGGCACGTTATTTAAAAGTCTCTGTGTCGCCCTAGCTGGTTTGGCTCAGTGCACAGAGCATTGGCCTGTGGACTGAAGGGTCCCGGGTTCGATTGCTGTCTAGGGCACATGCCCGGGTTGCAGGCTCGATCCCCAGTAGCGAGCATGCAGGAGGCAGCTGGTCAGTGACTCTCTCTCATCATTGATGTTTCTATTTCTCCCTCTCCCTTCTTCTCTGAAATCAATAAAAATATATTTTTAAAAAAGTCTCTGTGCCTTAGTCTCCTCATCAAAAAGAGAGAGCAGGAGGTGGTTAATACCCATTTCTCAGAACTGATGTGGATAAAACAGAATAACGACCATTTCTCCCAAAGTATAAGCCCAGCTCAGATGATGTGTGGGATTTCAGGTGGTCACTGAGACCTAGCAAGGACTCCCTCTGATTTTCTCTCAATCCTTGAGTAAGTCTGGGAGAAAGTCCACTATGGGGCTCACGTTGCTCTAACACAACCCTTCCAGGGAAAAGAAAACATCCCAAGACTCAGAACCTTCAACAAGCAACACTAGCTAGTGTCTTGCTCTCATGTAATACATTTTCACACTTACCTTTCTCTAACAGCAAATGACACCGGCTCTTTACAACCACGGCATGAAGTTCCCTTCTTTAAAATACATTTTTTAAGCTAGTTAATGACAAAAAATGATACTAATACTAATGAGAACATAATAGCGTAAGTGCTCGCCACTGAGTGTGAAACGCAGCACGCCGAGGGAATTATGCTGCCGTGGAGCTGGGGAAGCGGGGAGGCCTCGTCACACTGAGAAGGTCCCCTGATACTCGCACACCTCACCTCTCCTAGGCGACATGTTAGCGTGACAGTCTAGGGAGATGGTGTCCCTTTTCTTCAACTATGAGAACCATGTCCCCAATGCCCGACGCCATGCGGATACGGGAGGCTGCAGTTTACCCTGTCCATCCGGTTGCGGTGCCGAATTTCTAGCTGCTCCTTAGCCTTCTGGAAGCGGGCGTGCTCGTTATCATCCGCAGAGGTCTCGAAATACACGTCCACATCGCTGGTCGGCAGAGGAGTTGGGGGAACTGGAACAGAACGACAGAGGGCGGTCTCTTTGGGGGGCGAGGCCCCTGCTGAACCGGACAGCACTGCGCTCCGGGAGGACACCGTCTGCCTGGTACTGCGCTCCAAGGATGGGGCGCTACTGTCTGCCAAGCTCCTATCTCCAAGGACGGGGCATTCCTGTCTGCCAGGACCCGGTGGTTAGGCTGCGCTGGTCTACCTGCCTTATATGAGATTCGCCCACCAGGCCAGTCCAGGTACCCTGGCAACTACGGTGCCAGCCAGGCATTCACTGAGGACTTCAGGGGCAGCAAAGGAAATCGCTTCTTCTAATTACCCCTCAGTTCTTGAAATCTTAAACCCTTACTGCTGTCACCGATGGCATCTGACCAGAGACGAGGGCTGAAGTCAGACCAGCCGAGTGCTTCCACACTCTCTATTTTGAAGGGAACTTGAGGGCTCAGGGCTCCTTTCTTCTTGCTATTTTAGGTGAGAACCTACTTTGGGGAACTAACTCAACTGAATGTTCTTTGCATACTGGGAAAGCCCATCTGCTCTAGCTAGTGTCTCAGTGTTCAACAGTATTGAACCCCCAATAGCAGAGATGACAGGTAAAGCTAAGTTGCTGTATGTGACAGGACAGAGCTGCTATTCAACAAGGACTGCCCAGTGTGAAGACACCCAAGACATCCATTGGCCCCAACAAGCCACCACCCCTCCCTGCCAGTCCAACAGCTTCCTATTGGCTGCCAGTCCAGCAGCTTCCTACTGGCCCCGGCGAGGCAATGCTGCACCAGGGAGCTTCCTCTCCTAAGGGAAGGACTGGGAGGACAGGTTCCCCAGCCAGCCTCTCAGGAATACTCATGGCAGCTTCCTCGCCCAATTCCCGACACGTCCCCGGCCAGGGATGCATAACCTGCTGCATCATGACATCATGTTAGAGCCAAGCGGGTAGTAAAAGCCCAATTCAACAACCTTTAATTCAAACAAATCCACTTGACTTCCAGAACTGCGTACGTTCAGCAGAACTTGAAAACAAAGGTATAAGTGACCAATGTAACTACAAATGCATCAGCTGCTCCAGTCTTCCATCAGCGCATCTTCTATTTCCCTCATTTTAGTTACTTAACCTAAAAGCTACAACAGCCAATTTTCAAATGAACTAAGTTAACTAATATATGGCTTCACAGACCACATTCCCCAGGATACGCAAAAGTTCAGCTGGGAGAATTTCAAAGCACTGAAGTCCGTCCGTGCCACCGAGCACGTCGCCACCAGGGGCGCAGGCCTGCAGCTTAAAGGTCTGTGTGTTAGAGAAGAGCTTTGTTCACATGACTGGGCTGGACGAAGGTAATACCAAACGTAAGCTGCCTCCACCCTCTGGAAACCAAAGGGAAAGGGGGCAGCGGGCCTAGAGGTTTGGTTCTGCAGACACGGTGGGCTCCCACCCAGCACCACGCCCTCTGTCCGCGTGAAAACCACCAGCTCATTGACCCATCTCAATCCCCTTCGAGGAGGGACACAACCTTGACCATGGGAACAGCGATGCTTCTGGGCCACCCAGCTCTCCAGCCAGGGCCCCAAAAGCCCATGAACACATGCAGCCCCTTGGCAAGTCTCCCTTACATACGTAACCGGAAACCACCATTTGGCAGACTTTGTTAATGCTCTGAAGAGCTGCCAAAATTCCATCGTGTCTTAAGGCACTATCTCTCTGATCCTTTGGGAAAAGATCACCATCTGCATATTCAGTAAAATCTCATCCGAACCCCGATTCCTCAGGCTTCAGCCCAAAGCAAAGTTTTTGTTGCCTCTTATTTGAAGCAGTTCCACAGAGCTGAAAATATCCATTTCTATCTCTACATCTTTCTTGAATAAAAATCTTTCTGCCAAAGTTCCCTAAGGATTCGTATTTTTTTCACCTTTTCAAGTGTATGAAATAAAAACAGCCTTTCCACAGAGCAGCAGCTGGGGTGGAAGTGCTAAAAGCATACCATATTATATTAAGATTTCAGACATCTTTTGGTGAGGGGGGCGAGGGGGAAGAGGGACCATGAAGGCATCTGAATGACAACCATCAGAAGCTACAGCCAAATACCAGGAATCATCATTCTAACGAAACCCAGAATAGGAACTTGGCCTGAGGATTTTCCAAACACAGGGTTAGCACTGCAAAGTAAGAGAAAGGGGGTCTTAAAACAGGAAAAGGGGTAACCATGGAGAAAACGAAAACTTCCTACCTTAGTAAACCCAACCCAACTGAGCCACGGAGTTTCCTTGGGAGCTAAGAACACATAAACTAAAGTTCCTTCTCTCCCCCCAAATCACTGCACGACCCAGGGCTGCCGAATACAGAGAAACAGTTACCACCTCCTGGCTGCAAAGCTCTCTCCCTGGAGACATAAAGCGAGGCGGCTCAATTTTCTGGACTCCCAAGCATCCCCATCGTCACTGCTTCAGAGAGCAGGCATCACAGGGTCGGTGACAGGGTAGTTCAAAGTCAAGGATGAGAGGCAAAGCCTGGAGCGATCATATGCAAAACTCCTGGCCGCCCTGCTTCCGCTTTGGTGCCTTTCAACTAGAGACAACCAGGGCAAGGCTGTCTTCTGAGCCAACACACAGCGCCCAGGGAGCCAGCAGAGTAACAGAGGGCTGAGAAAGAGCAAGGCCTGGGCACTCCCACAGTGCCAGGGAGGGAACACACCATCATCACCACCACCACCACCATCACCACCACCACCACCAGCACCCACGGTGAGCACAGGACACGGAGAACTGAGCTTACAGCTGCCCACAGGAAAGCAAGCCCAGATCTGGAAAGCACACGATGAGGGAAACACGACCAACAGCGAACACCCGAGGGCAGGGAGCACTAACAGATGCAGTCACGTGGACGGCCGGGAAAGACAAAACGCCGGACAGGACAGTCTGCTGCACAGAGCCAGCGTGGCGGACTTACTCATCGCTTTACACACAGCCATACAATAATCCTCAGACTCAAAATTGTTCCTGTTGCCTCCGCAGCCGCCATATATAAAGCGCACGCACTTTCCCTTGGAGAGGTCGAAGTACCAACGGGGCATCACGGCCCGGCAGGGCCCCGTCATCGCCTCCTGGGAGCAGACAGCTGTGTGAAAATGGTCAGATGTCAGCGGGACACAGGTGGCAGCTGCAGACTCGTCACAACCTACAGAGCGCAGGGCTGGGCCAGGCGAGGAAGGCCCGGGGACACTCAACATCAGGAGGCTAGGGCTGGACAGACCCTCAGCGCCCGGCTAACTGGCTCACCAGCTCAAGCCGGTCGTTTCCACTCGAAGGCAATACATTGTGGAACTGGAAGCGCTCTGTGCTGTCTTGAGGCTAGATGCACAGGTTGGCAGAGAGGAATTCCCTACCTCTTAGCTCTGTGAGCCCACCCTGCTGAGCTGGTCGGTGGAGGTATTTGCCTGGTTTGCCTATCGTGATGGGTCAAGGCCTGCAGGGAACGCAGGTGGACGGGCTCTGTGCGTGGAGATAGTGGAAGCACTACTCAAGCATCTAAAAAGGACGCGTGCACACTTGTATGGTCTCCCAGGTGAATCAATTTCTAGGCTCATTAAATCATTTCCCCTAGGTGGGTCCTAAATAATTCTTCAGATCTTCACTGGTTTCAGATCCAGGAGGTTGTGTGGGAATGGCTCTAGAACCATCGCCACCTTTTTTTTAAAACTGGCAAGATGAAAACACTGCTGGTCCCAATCCCTTCCCAGTAGCTCATTCAATTCCACCCTCCCAGTTGCAAACGGCTTTCCAATGGCAAACAGGGTGGCCGACCCACTGGAACCCACTCAGAAAGAGAAGAACTAAGGAAGTGATTTCCATTCCACAGGGTCAGAGCTTTAGCAGTATGGGGGAGGGGGTGCCCCTCAGGAGAGACCAGGTTGTCTCTTATTCTCCAGTTAAATCCTTGCAACGCAGAGAACAGTTCTCTGATTCATTCTGCACTCTCCCTGGGTGTGTCCATGGCAGGCCCTGCCGCGGCCCAGCCGCCACGAAGCTGGCCCCACCAGCACCCTGAGGAGCTGGCCTCCTTCCGCGCACAGAAGCCCGCCTCTCCTGTAACTCACCGGTGGTGAATGCAGCACACAATTCTAAGTAAGCAATTCCCGTATGGATGTTACTGCCTCTGCTCACATGGCGTTACCTTTAACGTCGTGAGTCATTTCCTTTGCTGAGATGGCCCCGTCGCTGCTGGGCGCCGTCGGGGTCTCTTCGTTGTAGTCGTCCCCTTTAAAGGTGTCATAGTAGTAGTCTCGGTCTTCCACCACTTCCTCCTCCTCCTCTTCCTCGTCCTCGCCATCCTCATCCGCAGCTGCCTCGGTGAAGTCTTCCAAATCTGCTTCGGTAGGAAATTCACTAAGGGTCACAGCAAAAGAGGAAGGTTAATGCCAGTTCCTACGCACAGCACAACAATGAGTCTGCTCCCTGTTCTGAAACACAAACAGAGACAGGAAATAAGCTCAGCGTGCCCTGAACTAGGCCGTGAAGGCTTCGGCCTGGCTCCGCCAGCAAAAGGGAAGAGCCGGTGACCAGGGACCACGTGGACCTGTGGAAAGCAGTGCAGCCCAGGGTAACGTAAGGCTGGCAGCCTCCAGCACTCCCGTGACCGGCTCCAGCTGCCATGAAATGCAATGCCCCCTTCACCCAGCAGCTCCCAGCCCCCGGCAAAACAATTCCCAGGCTCAGGACAAGAGTTCACCTTTTATAAACATCATAGTCTTCCTCCTCCTCTTCCTCTCCGTCCTCGTCCTCCTCGTCCTCCTCTTCCTTTGACACAGCCAACTCCATGGCCTTGGTCTGAGGGCAGCACACGTACTCGGTGCCGTGGAACTGGTCGACCCCGCAGGGCAGCAGCATGCCGTAGCTGTACAAGGTCATCCCCTGGGTCAGACAGGCCTGAAAGAGACCCGCAGGCCGACGTCAGAACACACCCGACCCGAGCTTTAGCCTAAAGGAACCCTACCAAATCGCTCTGTAATGCTGCCTCTCATGGCCAAGAGATTTCTGTCCAAAAGTGTGATGGTATTATGACACATTTTGCTTCACTTGTACTAGGGAAACATCTGGACCATAAACAATGAAAGCCCGAAGTTGGAAAAAAAGAAGGAAAGGGAGTTTTTCTGGTAATTGCCAAGCAGACAGAGGTTGTCCACGTGAATTTACACTCGTCCCTGGGGAGGGAGAGCGCTCCTTCAGAATCTGACCAGAGGAAGACAAGCGACGGGAGAACCAACTTAACTACAGAAGACAAGTCACGAAAGGGGTTTCTCCACTAGAAGGAGGAAGTGCCATCCAATCCTGTCAGCGTGTGAGCAGACAGCCCTTCCATAATTGGCCATTTCCACCCTCAGGCCTTAGGGTTCAGAGGGCCTTCTCGGGAGCCCTGCTGAGCGCCTCCTTGCTTCACATCGTTTTTAATATCCTTAACTTTAGGGTCTGGATTGTTAGCACCGAACTCCCCTGTAAAAATACCAATTCTGCTCCCCAATATTTTTATTTCAGAAGGTGCAAGTCATTGCTAACTTTGAAGGGAGAAAAGGAAAAGAAAGGAAATTGATTTGAAACCAGGGTGGCTTTGCCATCCGCCCTTTACCTCTTTGACCAGAGTGTGCCAGTGCTGGTGGTTCTCGCACACATCCATCCGCTCCTTGTGGAAAAACTGGCACTTCTCTGGGACCAGCAGAACGTCACTCACAAACTCACCCACTGGAAAAGAGAAGCTTTGTCAGAAGCAAATCTGAGCGTAATTCAAGGGGAAAACAACCCTCCCTGCAGATTCTTAATTACATAGTCAGATGTAGACAGGTGTAGTAGCTTTCATCCTCAAAGGCCCACTGAATGCGACACCTCCAACCAAGCAGCCACAAGAGCTCCACATTCGTTAGGCCACTAAGCCCAGGACTGGCCTCTCTCCCCGACTCCAAGCCCTCCACTCCCGGCGCAGGCGCACAGCACATGAGGAGACTAGGAACAGGGTCCCTCCCACGACCTCAGAGACAGAGAGAGAGAGACAGACAAACACAGACACACACACACACACACACACACACACACACTGCCCTGCACATAAGGAGAATAGGTTATATAGGATCCCCTCCCCTCCCATGACCTCAGACACACACACACACACACACACACACACACACACACACAGGTTCTGCCCCCCAGATTTCACATAAACACTATTCTTTTTTTTTCTCTCTTTTTTTTTTTCGAATTAAAGAGTCACATTTATTGCAATCTGGGACTATGAGGGGCCATCCCCCAAATCTCATAGTGACAAGATGGTGGCAAAGCCAGACTTATATAGGCAAAGATCACAAAGGTATTGATTACATCTCAAGGTTTGGATAAACAATATTCTTGGTCTCTTTACAAAATGCCCAAGAAACTAAGATTGGGTGTTCTCCTGAAGTACAGGTAATTCTTATGTTAGCCCTTTGTGGACCTAAAGACACATACTAGTAGCTCTAAGAGCAGCCACCATTGCAATAACTTATTCACGTATGAATCATCAATGGAGAGCTAATTACAAGGGGAACAGGGCCCTGGCAAGAGAAAACTCTGGAAGACACTGCCTTGACCGGGCGACCTGTCTAACATTGCCAATCACAGACAAACTGACGATGTCCTAAGAAGAACATACTACCTACATAGTCTTTCTGCCAAAATATGTCATTTCAACCTAATCATAATGAAACAGTAAGATAAATTCAAATCCAGGGATATTCCGTTAAACAAATGACCTGGACCTTTAATTTTAAGGTGAACTATCATGATGTCTCAAACTTACTTTCAGTTTAACAACAACAACAATAAAAAGTATGTGATATGCACACACACATATCTAATGAGCTGGAGAAAAAAATACACATACTAGTAGCTGTTTAGAAAATAGGATCCTATTTTGTAACTACCAATTTGTACTTGTTAATCCCTTTACCTTTTCACCCAGGTCCCACTACCCCTCATCCTCTCTGTCAACCATGAGTCTGACCTCTATATCTATGAGTCTGTTTCTATTTTGTTTATTCATTTATTTTGCTCTTTAAATTCCAGTTAAGTGAAATCATATGGTATTTGTCTTTCTCTGATGTATGTCACTGAACATAATAACCTCTAGGCCCATCCATGTTGCCACAAATGGTAAGATTTCATTCTTTTTTTTTAAGGCTGAGTAATATTCCATTGTATATATGTACCACCTCTTCTTCATCCAACTGTCTATCCACTGGCACTTAGGTTGCTTCCATATCCTAGCTATTGTAAATAATGCTGCAATGAACATAGGGGTGTATCTGTCTATTCAAATTAGTGTTTTGGATTTCTTTGCATAAATATCCAGAAGTGGAATTGCTGGGTCATAAGGAGCTCTATTTTTAATTTTCTGAGGAGCCCCCATAGTGTTTTCCATAGTGGCTGCATCAATTTGCAAACCCACAATCTGACCACCCAAGGCAAGTTTTTGTGGGACCTAGTGGCCCTCCCTAGACGATGTCTCTGAGGTAAATAGGGCTGTGAGGACTTAAAAGACCTAGAATAATTGTCTCGAGCAGAAACACACACCTTGCAGAAGCATTCATACTGGAACAAGGTGAACTGCTGGTGGCCTATGGTGAATTCCAAGGTAGAAGGTGACTTGCAAACAGACGCCTGCAATGGACGAGTGAGCAGCTCCGAGACACCAAGGCGCAGCTGCTGAGGACTGCATCTCAAAGCCTGACTGTGCAACTTCCTTCACATCACAGCAAACCCCTGTGCTCATCTCCTTCCAAAATAACCAAATGCAAACACTGCCCTGGGCTTGCAAAGCTCGCTTCTTTTAGTACCGGAGCCAGTCTATATATAAACGGCCAAGATGACTAACTCCTTCCCACAAACACCAGCACATCACCAACTGTGTCCTACCCGGATCATCCGATTTATTTAGATACATTTTTATAGATAAGCAGGAGGCAATTAGTAGTAACGGGAAATAAAATGTTCATTTGGAGGAGACTGATCTGTAACTTCTCACCAAATATACTAAATATCAGTTAAGAGATTCACATTGGTGGAGAGCTGAATGACTGGACACAGATGTCTACAGATAGCGTGACATCAGATGTGATGCAAACATTGCCAGCAACTGAAATTCCTTCTCAAACTGCTTTCAGGCATCCTAATCAGACACATCATTCCCCTCAACCTTGCAAAAACAACAAAAATAGTACCTGAGTACACAGATAAGGCCCCTGGAACATCCAAACCAATTAATAGAGGCACCCAACCAACATAAGTACATCCTATTTTCCCCAGTCCCCATCTCCCCGCCCTTCTGGCTTGCCTATGATTTGGGTTTGCTAGGCAGCAATATTTAAAGGGGGTTTCAGAGCTGAAGCTAACCACACTACCATCTCTTTACGGCAATATGTGGTATTTATTTACCTTAATATGTATAAAAGGACTCACTGTGGTTACTCCTGGTGAATAAAATATACAAGACTCTCACTTTTTACTGCATTAATTTTTCAGTACAGTTTGTATGTTAAAAGAGTTGAATATGGTTGCATAACTCAGTGAATACACCATTAAACCATTATATCTCAACAAACCTACACTTAAAAAATAGAGAGACTTATTTACAGGGGATATTGAGAAAATTTAAAAATATACTGAAGATAATGGAATTGTAGGTTATCAATATGAGCTCACTGTTTTTAACACATGCACATAGATCTAGAAAATACATTTGTGTGTGCATGTAATGTATATATACTATTTCTTAGCTCTGTCTCCTGAGTGGGCCTAGAAGCAATAACACTGTAGTGATAGCAGTAAGCACATCTAATGCCCAGATCTTGGTGTCTAAATATTTTTCCCACTAAATGAAACCAGGGCTTCTTGCAGAAATGGCTGAATCCAGGGGTGAGGTAGAGAAAGTATAGGAGCCTAGAGCACCCTTTTGTACCAGAAAGGAAGCTTTCAAAGAATGACAGGGACATGTAAAAAGACACAGGAACCAGCAGGAAGTCCTAACAAGTTTGGCTCAGTGGACAGAGTGTCGGCCTGCAAACTGAAGGGTCCCAGGTCAGATTCCAGTCAAGGGCACATACCTTGATTGCAGGGCAAGTGCAGAAGGCAACAAATAGATGGGTCTTTCTCACATCAATCTCTCTCTCTCTCTCTGTCTCTCTCCGTCCCTCCCACTCTCTCTAAAAAAATCAATGGTGCTGAGGAGACAAAATAATTAAAGCTGGGTCGGTGTTTACAACAAGGTTGGAGAAAGATGCATACACAGAAATCATTGGTTGTACAGTGTGACAGGTGTAATGGCAGTAACATGGAGAACTTCAGATATGGTTATCCGGATAGAAAATAAAAGTGATTCTGTTAAAGGAAGCATCCCCCGAGATAAGTCTTAAAGAGAGAACTTCCCAAGTAAAGTTAAATAGAGGAAAATCATTCCAAACTATGGGTGGATGGTAAGTGGCCATGAGCCATGAGATGTCCATGTTGGTGAAGAGTCTGAAGCACAGAAAGGGGGCGTGGGGGTGCTGTAGCGAAGTAGAGTTAAGCAAGGGCCACTTTATGGAGTTTTAACCCATGCTAACGAGCTTAATTAAAGATGATTTTTTAAGTGAAGAAGAGCTACTAAGGGGTGTTATGTGCGAATAACACCCTTTAATTCAATCTTCACTTTAGATCAGAAGGCAACACATTGACAACAGACCTGAGGGATAGGCATGGAGGCTGTGGTCAGCCTAGACTAGGAAGGAAATGAGGGAAAGCTGAACTAGAGCAGGGGAGTCAGCTGGAAAAGGATGTAAGCCAGAGGTTCCCAAATTTTTGAGTCACAGTACCCCTAGGGCAAAAGAATGCCCCAAAGCCAAGTAGTTAGGCCAACAAGTGAGTAAGTACTTGTGTCCTAACCCCTTAGGGCCTGCTGGGCCCTACACAACTCTTCCAACCTTGGAATCCATTGACCACATTCACGCTTCTTTCTTCTATAGTGATTTTGTGTGATGCTGGCCTTTTATCACAGGAACCACAAAGATGAAGTCATAGAAAGGAATAAAATGGTCAGGTGTTGAACCTGTGATTACTCCCAGCTAGTAGTTCACGGGATGTCTGACAGATGTTTCCCCTGAAAACCCAAACATCCCACAACAATGCCGCTGTGAGTCTGCTACAATGTCCTGGAGCGCCTCGGTGCACTTAACACATGGACACAAGCCATACTCCAGAGGCGAGAATCAGACTGGCCTGAAAACTGACTGGATGTACAAAGGGCCCCCAGATCTCAAGCTCAGAGCTCTGGGTGGGTAGTGGAGCCAGCAAGGGACATAGAACACACAGAACACATAGGAGGGCGAAGACCAGGCTGCAAGGTCTTTAGGGGTAAAGATGCAAAAGGCAGAAGTGATTCCAAGTGCTATCTACAAATAGTCAAGAATACTAGTTTGAGAATTTTATAGAGAATGAATGAAGCCTCATACCCAGAGATTTCTTGGAGCCAAATGGAATGGAAGAACATCCGTAAACCTCATCTCAAAAAATTTAAACTGGGTATTTAAAACAAAGTAATTGCTCCATATTTTAAATACTGTTATTCAGATGCTGACTCTTCCTGTTATTTTGCTGCATGTGAGAATGAGAAAAGCAATATATTCCATTTGAGGAAAGGTTTTAAAGAAGGGAGGGAAGGGAAAAAGTTAAATTCATGCCTAAAAGTATGTACATCTACAGAACTACCCCGGATGTCACATTAGTGCTGTATCCATGGGCTGCTCGGTCCCCCGAACTACTAGGACTCTAACACCTCACACTCTCCCTGGAGGCGGAGCTGGGCCGCTCTGAGGGCAGCACTCTCATCAGTGCCATGGAAAAGATGCTTCCCTAAAAGACAAGGATGCCCATGATGGGAGAGGGCGAGTTAGTGACCAGCGAAGACAAGTCCATTATCGACACAGAAAGCAATAAATATTCAAAAGAGGAAGTCCCACAATAAATCCGTGTAGCCCCCAGGTTCTTAACAGATGTGGGTAGTTCACTGTGAGTCAAGAGAAACTTAAATTGAAAAACGAGGGACCCTACCTCCTGAGAAGCACCCAGGAACATCTACAGAGCACTCACCGAGACACTTGAACGGAATCACAATGTGGCTCTTGCACTGCTTCTTGTCCCGCCGGCACCAGTTGTCCACGCTGGCTGGCTGGTTGGCCTCCATCACATTGGTGATCTGTAGCTCTGGGTACATCTGCACAGGAAAAGGCACACTCGCAGTGAGCGGACGGGTCTCTAATAAATGCACACTCCCTCCCAGGAAGGCTGAGTGTCTGTTTACTCAGTGTCACTGTTATCCTATGTAAATCTAAAGTTCCACTCGGTTGCCCCTGGCTCCAGATAAACTCTTCAAGTAAAAAGATACCATAACGATTAGTTTTCTTGGGAAAGGCAGATTTCTGACTACTAATGCGTTCTCTTAAAAAAAAGGACTCTTTAATACAAAAGCAGCAAGCTTTAAGCCCAATAAATCTGCTAGACATCAAGGATGCTTGTAGGGTACGTGTAAGTAGCTGAGTTCATGAACTGAAACATTTAAGAGGCAAGTCCATGGAAGTGTCTGTTAGTAAAATTATAGAACAATGCTTGGACCCTGGCCCTATATGCCAGTCTTGGTAAGTAAGAAGTTCATTCAAACCTCTTATATCCTTTTCTAGGTCAAGTTTTAACCCAAAACCAAGTTGACTCAGACTTGAGATGATCATTTACAGCAAGTGGAAACCACAAGCACACACATGACATGTCTGCTTCGTATCTTCCTATAACAAGTGGAAGCCGAGAGAAGCACGTTGTACAGAATTCCTTCCACAGTATTCCTTCCTCAGAGAACTGAGGTTCACAGCACACAAAGGCAGAAGCCTTTGAGAAGTCTCAGTCGCCTCACAGCTTAGAAACAAAGGCCTGGTGTACCAGTCTTTAGCCACTTAGTCTTAGGTCAAAAGAAAAGAATGATAGAATATCCATTTCTAAGGCAAATAGGCTCAAATGTGACCCAGAAACAAAGCGGTTTTAAGTTTCTGGCAACACTCTTACCTCCTGACAGTACTGAAGAACTTCTTCTTTTGTTCCAAAGCAGCTCTTGGTGCCTGTTGGGTCAGGTTCCCACTCCCCAGTCTGAATGTTCACGTGCATATTCAACTTTCCACAAAACATTGCAATCTGAGGCTCGGCGACAGCAAATCCTGTTCCAGCATTGGCCGCAAGAGCCTACGAAAGGGGGGCAAAAAACACGTTTACTGCAAGAAGGCCACGCCAAGGCAGTCATATTCAGTTGTCTGGGACAGCAGAACCGATCTTTTAAAATTTTTCACTGTAACTATTATGTCATAAACAAATCCCTTTCCCAGGTGCTAACCCAGAATAAAAATGACCTCTGGATATACATGATCAGAGTGAAAGATCAATGGTAAATTTATCCCCCACTCCCCCCACTTGAATACTTCTGACTTGGGAACCTATAACATAACTGCGGTCTCCTCTATTACAAGCAAATCTGTTCCTTAATAAATCGAACCACAAAAGCATAACATGTCTAAAGTTCCAGTAATTTTATTCAATTCACTTACACAAATTTTACTGAGCAGCTACTATTATGCAAACCAACAAGCTAAATGCTTAGGACACAAGGGTGAACGGAAAGCTATGACCCCCGCTCTCACGGGGCTTGCGGTCTAGAGCAGCAGTCCATACACCCCAAAAGCGTGATCCCATGCCCAGACATCCTGAGGAGGAAAAAAACACAGCCTTGAAGAAGCATGTGGAAAGGGACTCGGCCTTGGGCTTGGATGAGATGATCAGGACAGCTTCCTGAAGACAATGGCACTGAGTAGAGCAGAGCTTTGAGCATCGTAAGTGGAGAGGAAGAGGAGTGGTACAGGTGGGAGGGGAGCATGCAGGGACAGACTGGACAGTCTGTAGACCAAGAAAGGACTTTGGTCTTTATCACCGGAAGTGTGGAGAGGTTTCAAGCACAAAGTTCGTATTTTCAAAATGCAGCTCTGATGCTTTCTCTGGTTGAGGGTGAAGAACAGAGTGAAAGGAACCCAGAGTATATGCAGGGCAATGGCTCAGGAAGCTGGAGTTGCACAGTCCACATGTGAGCGATGGTAGCTTGGGCTAAAGGAGGGTGATGGAGAGACAGAGTCAAGAGATCACAGAGAGCAAAACAAGCAAGACTTGGTGACGGATTAGTGTTACTTAAGAAGTGATGGTGTCATTTGTGAAACTGAACACTAAAAGGGATTTCATGAACAATTTTACCTTGTGTTAGTTAAAAAGAATCAACTACTGCAGAAAATCTTTTTCTGGCTAGCATTCTCTTCTTTGCAAAAGATCACAGCCATTAACAACTCTTAAGTTACAGGTGAGAAACAACATCTAGGCCTGAGGACATAAGGCTCCTGCAAAGTCTCTGGCAGCAGGAAAAAAGCACAGGCATCCCAACATCCAGAAATAGGCCCACACTGCTGGCTGATCCACAGCGGAGTTCGGTGGTCTTTCCTAGTGAAAGTTCTTTCAAAATAAAAATTAAATAGCTTTTTAAAAAATGTTAAAACTTGGTTTGTGGGGGCGGGGGGGAGGAGGGTTAAATTGCATGATTATATTGTTCTATATTTTTTAGAGAGAGAAAGGAAGGGAGAGAGAGATTTGTTGTTCCACTCACTTATGCATGCACTGGTTGAGTCCTGTATGTGCGTGCCCTGACCGGGAATTGAACCCACAACTTTGGTGTACTGGGACTCTAACAACTGAAGCTACCTGGCCAGGGCTATTCTATTGTTCTTTTTAAAGAGAACAAGTAGTTAACATAAAATGGTTTTCTGTAAAGAAAGGTAGGCCTGGCTTGAGTACATGGAAAATGTGTGCTTTCCAAGCAGTTATTACTTATCTGTGCTGATGGACGACACAGACACAAATGGTCCTCCCCATCAGGAGCCTACATTAGATTGTGAAATACATTACGATCCTTTTCCAGGACCAATTTACCATCCTACACCTTTTGCTGTGAAACTTATGAAAATTAGCCTGCTCTCCACTAGTACCAGACAAGGAAGCACAAACACCTGCTGGACAGCTGGGAGAAAGGGCATTTGAAGTAAAACGTTGCCTACATCAATCTGGGTTGAAAACTACCTATTAAACCCAATTTGGAGAACAATTTGCAACTTTATGAACTAGAATCGACTGTAACTCTGTGATGACAGTCACTTATTAAAGTAGAAGGAAGATCCTGTGCCTTCAGTATAACTGCATGTGAAGCTACAGATCGGTGTTGAGTCCTATCTCCCCCAAAGAAAGAAAAAAACATTTAAAAGGAACACTAATGGTGTTTATTAAATGGTAAAAGGATGCAGAGAACAAATATGTTTATTCTCACAATGAGTTCAGGACATGCATCAAAATGCCTCTCGTGGTGGCCTTTCTTCCTTTGGAGCCATATCTAAGGATCATGGCTAGAAACATAGATTACGATCAGCCGCCTCCTGCATGCCCCCCACTGGGGATCCAGCCCGCAACCCCAGCATGTGCCCTGACTGGGAATCGAACTGGGGACCTCTCGGTGCATAGGACAACACTCAACCAACTGAGCCACACGGGCCAGGGCTGGCCTTGTATATTTTTAACATTAAAGACAGCTATTAAACAAATAGAATTCTGGGTGTGATGTGCAATCTTTCAAGTGGGGAGTGGGGGTGGGCTGGGATGGAGATTTACCTCTTAGATTCCAAAAATGAATACACGTAAGACACAGGGTCAGTCAGTTACGTGAGGTCACCCAGGCCCAGCTGTGGAGTGGTCGGAACTGTGCAGGCAGCCCTCTATTTATCAGCACCGAAGATTATGTTCCACGCGTTACTCATTATGGCTGTTAGATAAAAGACCGCAAGGGTTCCAGCTGCATAAATGTTCAGTGTGTGGGTCAACCGCTGAGGTCAACACAGCAGTGTAAGTGCATTTGATCTCTGTGCTGAGATGGTCAGCATTCCCTTCCCTAAAGAGAATCTAAAATACCAGAGGTTAAAGCAACAGGAAGAGGCAGCTAAGCAGCGACACCTCACATCAGTTACCACCAAGAAAAGGGAGAGTAACTGGCACCATTCCAGACAGCTCATCTGCTGCAGTGATTCACTTCTGAGTTCAGAAAGATTAATCCTTGTGGTCATAAGAGACTCTCAAGAAGGTATCATCTGAAATACAAAAAGCCTCTGTGGACTGTGTCTAGGAATCCACTAATCAAACGTACCCCACCTTATCTAGAGAATAATCGGATCTTTTCTATGTTTGTGCTTCTTCCCTCTGAAAACGCTTTTATTTAATGGGCTCTCCATTTTCTTAAGCGCACACTGTGCCTTGATCCATTACATCAACGTATAAATCAATCTGTTTCCTGATCTAACATGTTACAAATGGGACGTCACTGCCAAGTCAGCAGTTCTGACATCCTGTGAACCTGGAATCCACTCCGAAAGGAAATTAATGCCCGTGCTTTGGCACTTAAGCCAGTGCCTGTGATCTATGCGCGCTGCAGCACTTTGAAGGCTTTGAAAACAAATTACATCAATTGCTGTCCTAGCCCAGTGCTTCCATTTTACTTAATTCATTCTTAATAAGAAATTCCATTGTATTAATTTGGATCAGGAAAAGAGAGTTTAGCTATTTAGGGACAGAAATTCAACTTGGTAAAAAGTGCTTCTAGAAACTTGGTTGAAAACCTGAAATGGCTGAAGGCAATAAATAAATCTAAGTCTGAACCTAACTTATCCCCAGCCCTTTAATCATCACTGGAGAGTTGCACCCCACACCCCCAGCTAAGCCCCGCCTCCTTTCACAGAGCCACTGGGGACCAGTGCAGGCTCCCAATCCAAGCAAATAAGCAAGTCCATTACCTCCTCCCTCACTGAAGCTACTGCTGCGTCTAATCTGGCTCTAGGGTTTGTGAGGGTGCCTGCGGGGAGGGGGCTGCTTCTTTCTAAAGAGGAGGGTTCCATCCTATGACTGAGTGAATCATGTCTCCTTGGACAGGAAGGTGCTGCATGCCAGCCTCTCAGGTGTCCAAGCTTCACCCTGCAAAGTCAAGTTAACTCAGTTCTAGTTCTTATAAATCTGAGCAATGGTAAGCGCCTTTGGAACATCTATTTACTATCTGGATGCTAGTGATTTGTACATTAAAATGACTTAAAATCCATAGTGTCAAGATAGTTCCCTAAGATATTTACCGACTACAAAAAGGGAAACAAATTACTTCACAGTGGAGGCACCAACATGAACCTTACCAGCAAAAAGACATTTAAGAATACCAACAGGAAAGACTTGGGCAAGACAGAGGGACTTAGAGACTGGAAAAGACGAAGGAGAAATGACAAGTAAATGCAAATGGGGGGCCTGAAACAGGGACAGGACATTAATGGGAGAAGCGGAGAAATTACTGGACTCAGGGCTGTAAATCTGTTAATAGCACTGTACCAATGTCAATCCCCCAGTTTTGATAGCTGCACTGTGGTTATATCAGATGTTAATATTAAGGGAGGTGGGCTAAGGGTATAGGGGACCCTCTATAGTATTTTTGCAACTTTAAAAAAAAACACTCTAAAATTAGTTCAAAATTCACTGGTTTTGGTTTCTTAATCCTGTTCATTGCCTGCCTGAATTTCAATCATGATTACATGGATTCAATCTGTCAAAAGAGAAAGGCAAATAGTAAGTATAATCAGAGCAGGCCCAATACCTACAAAACATACTGTTTTATTCTGAACACATGAGCACACATTCTAACGTGGTAAAATCCCATGTGTACAAACATTAAGTCTGATTTCTCTCTAATGGGAAGACAACTGCAGTTCTGCTCAGAGCCTAAGACATAAGAAAGTCCACTCTTGTTACTGTCAAAGAGGTGCCTATCGTTTGGAGCCTTTAAAGTATCTTCATCAACTGTACAAAAGTGAAGCTTTCAATTAAAAAAACAAAGATCCAAGCTTCAAACACTTTAACCCGCTACTGAATAAAACAGCAGGATTCTTGTCAAGCATTTTCCAGCAAACGAAGCAAAACCTACTCTTAAAAATGAGTTTTCATCACACCGGTTGAAAATCATTGACCTCTTTTTACATTTGAACTTCTAATTAGAAGCTGGTGAATTAGGGTTAGGAGAGAAAAATTCCAAATATAAAAGGCCGATATCCTTCCTTCCAGCCTAAGACATAATACCAGCTATTATGTATGATTTTCAT